CTTGGTGCCTATTGATTGTCTTTTCTCAGTCACGTTGATTTCCTGGTTCTTGGTGTGATAAGCAATTTTTTATTGAAACTTCAATACTTGGGTATTATGTCATGAGCCCCTGAGTCTTATTTAAATCTTCTGTTTGGCTGTCTGCTGTGACATCACTCTGCCAGGGGAAGGTTGGAAGTTGTCTCCTTCACCACCCAGCTGGAGGGGCTCCTCATAACTGCTGGCCTAGGGTGGGAGTTCTAGCTCCCCAGTAGGCTTCCAGCCAGATTGGAGAGCAAGAGGCCTCGCTACTGTTCCACATGTGCTGCCACCGACACAGTGCAGTTGGCCTCATTAGCTCTAGGTGTCAGCACTAGTCCTGGCTTTCCACAGGACTCACTCTAATGAGCCACACATGTGATCCCTACTGGCTTTGTGTGGCTTGTGTTTCTTGTTCCCAGACAGTTGAGATTTTACTCCCATCTGTGCCTCTCCGACCCCACAGCAAGAATCCTGGGGGTGAGGGCCCATGCCGAGGCTCTGGCCCAACTCTGCTGCTGTGTGCAGAGGTGGGCTGCAGCGTGTCTGTGGAGTTTGGATTGGCACAGTGATCACTGCCTGATCTTGCCAGGCTGCCTCCTTCCTTGTTCCCTCACTAGGGAAAACTAGGTTTTGTTGGGGCTTTTAAAAATCGTGTCTGTTGGCATTTAGGGGTTGTTGGCTTTTCTAGCACCGTCTAGGATATATGAGGCAGAAAAGGAAGCCCTACTGCATGCCATTCCTTGGGTCCCAAAGCTCCCTAGCCAGTCCACTTTCTTCCTCTTACCTTTCGGAGTCTTCCTACATTTTCCTTGTATGTATGTATGTCCAGGGGTTGTTTGTGTAGCTGTGCTTGTGGGATGAATTGGGGAGCACTTCACTCTATCAGTCTGCGAGCTGAAGCCTCCAGTTAATTTTACATATGGTGTGAAATAGGAAAGAGCCCTTTCCCCCACCCCACCCTCATGGACATTCAATTTCTTTATTACTCACAGTTGAAAGACTTTCCTTTTTCCTTGAATTGCTATGGCACTTTTATCAAAATCATTTGATATTATTAAGTTTCAGGGATTAAAGTTTTAATTGTTAGTTCTGTCACACAGGTTTGTTTTGTGTATCGGACACTCTGGCTATACACATTAGACCTACTTTGCCGGTTTTCTGTATGATTTTTGTTCTAACCTTTTTACAACTCAGTCTTTATTTCCCATTTTCCCTTTCAGCTCATTTCTCTGTAGTCTTCTTTTTCTCTTGCTATATCCAGTCGTTTCTGTTCTCCCTTGGATTCCTTGTGGCTTCTGACATGGACTGGTCGTTTCTGCAGTTCTCTCCTGAGTCTGATCAGCTCTCATTCATGTCTCCAGTGGTCCATCTGTCTTTATGCTGAGTGTTTGTATCTGACCGCAGTGTTCCTTGCTATCAGGCAGTGCTTCTGTAATTGTGTTAAGTACAGCAGGAGATGTGTGGGGGCAAGTTGGGTTGCTTCTGTGTTACAGTTGGGTTTTTTTGTGGGTATTTTTATTAGGTGAATAGGCTTAACCCTTAGTTTTTGTTTTCCTCTTATTGAATTTTTTTTTTCTTTTTAAATGGATGTTGGGTTTCTTTCTCAGATAAGGATAAAATGTGCTAGGTTTGCCTGGACCAGCAGCTACATGTGATTCTGTGGAGTTGGGGTGGGGCTTGGGCAGCTCCTGGCTCTCCAGTCCAAGAGCACCCTCCTCTGTTGGGAAAGTCAAGTCCCTTCTCTGTCTGGGTTCTGGGGTTCTGCCTGATTCTCTTCTCTGTAATGCAGACTTGTAGTCCTTGACTCAGTACTGGGGTTCATCATGAAGCCGTATGGAGCCTTCCCTTTCCTCCCCTTTCCTCCAGAAGTAGGGCCCAGTGGCCACCTCCAGCCCAGGCACTTCCCAGAGCCTTCATGGTCTGACCCACAGGGCCTTAGACCTGTGTGGAGAAGGGCCTTTCTTCCAGGGTGTTGCACAGCTCCCTACCTCCCACGCTGCCCTGGTACTGCAGGCCTCAGGTGTTTGTCCCCACTCCCACGTAAGTGCAGGTGTATGGTGTAGATGTGGACTGTGGATGCCTTTGTTCTTTCTCCTTGTTGATGGTACAGCTTAGGGAGGATGTGGGGAGAAACTGGAGGATAGGGACGAGAACTTGTGTTCTTCCTGCTGGGTTTGCATTTTTGCCGGCCCTCCCTCCTTCACCTAAAGGTGGGTCAGTTTAAACCGTCTCCCAGTGCCTCTGGCCTTGTCTTGACCTTCTTGTGCCTTGGTCTGTTTGCTAATTTCTGCTCTTGGCGCTTCCTTTCCTCTGGTCTGTGTCTGATGCCCTTCCTCCTGCTCTTGGTTTTGTTGTTCTTTGCAGTATCTCATCACTCCTGGTGTGTCAGATCATCATTTGTGTCCCTCCCACTTCTGTTCCCAGAGCTCGTTTCCTGATTTCCTTTAGTGAAGTTCCAAAGTGGTGAGCTCTCTCTGCTGGCCTGGATGACCCTTGTTCTGCCATTGCTGGTGAAGAGTGATTCTCTTTTGTATGGAATTCTGGCTTGTTAGCTATTTTCTCTCATCAGATTCAGGCTATTCCATTGTCCTCCACCTTCTCTTGTTCTGTGGAGAATCCAGTGGCCTAAATTGTTCCTTTATCTGGTTCTATATTCTCTCTGTGGCTGCCTAAATGAAGGCCTTTGTGTTGTAGTAAGTTGAGTGAAGTGGCTGCTCTGTCACCCACCTTGGCAGATGTCCCCTCTGCTGTCTTTGTCCTCCTTTCTCTTCGCTTTCTCGTATAGCCCGTGGAGTGTAAGTATGCCAGTAGGGATTTAGCATAATTGCAGCAAAAACATTGTGACAACTCCTTAATGTTATCTAACACCCATTCCAAGTTCACGTTTTACCAGGTATAATCAGTATCCAGACAAGCTCACTCATTTCACTTAGCTGAATCTGAGTGTCTGCCCTCTTCTTTTCGTTCATGCCCTTTACTTGTTGAGGGAGCTGTGTGGTTTGTCCCTTCACCCCCTGCTCTGGGTCTGGTTGGTGGCAGCAGATGTCCAGCCTGCTCCTCTGTCCTCACTGTAGCCTGTTTCTGACCTTGGTGGTGTGAGATCTTGTTGTCAGCCACTGTCTTGTGTGCAAGAGTTTCAGGAATGTCCCTGGATGCCAAGAGTACCTCTCGTCATGAGAACAAAAGCTGTCTCCAGACATTGCCAGGACTGCCCCATCTGAGCCCCATACATCGGGAGACTCGATTAGGAAGAGTTCAGTTTGGCTCTTGTGCGAGCTCCAGGGGCTGCGGCATGGTGCAGGCCCTGCCAGCCCTGCACCTCCTAACATTCTCCTGCAGCCTTTTCCCTAGTGATTCCAGTGAAAGTGATTGTTATCAGATGAGCGAATTCGGGGAGGACCACAGAATGAGGAATTTATAATCCCATTGTTTTTTCCTGCATTTACTATTCTAACCTTTTCTGTAAGGAAGACCTTATTCCACAAAATTGGGTTACCTTGAAATATAGTTTGTATTTATTTACTTATTTTTTGAATTTTTATTTGTTTTAATTAGTTATACATATCAGTAGAATGCACTTTTTTTTTTGGGGGGGGGTACTAGGATTGAACTTGACCACTGAGCCACATCCCTAGCCCTATTTTGTATTTTATTAGAGACGAGATCTCACTGAGTTGCTTCAAGTGCCTCATTAAATTGCTGAGGCTGGCTTTGAACTTGCAATCCTCTTGCCTCCACCTCCCGAGCTGCTGGGATTATAGGCGTGCACCAGTGCGCCTGGTCTGTAGTTTGTGTTTCTAGCAAGCAAGAGAGATGTTTAATTCTGTCCCTTTATTTGTGAATTTTCAAAATAATGAATCAACTCCAATATCACTAATGAGAGATTTAAAATTATTACTAGGAAATTATAGATTTGAGTATGTTTGATGGGTTTCAGGCGGTCCTGGGGGAGCCCAGTCCTTCGGCTTTGCATCAGGACAGCTTTGAGGTTCAGTTGTGAGCCCACCCCTCCCCCAGGAGCCTACACCTATCTTTGCAGGACTTCATTGAAGTCATACCCTTGCTAGGCTTCTTCACATCCTGTCCTGCTTTCTTGTTCCCTCTGGTCCTTCTAGAAGCATGTCCTCCATCAGGCATGAGGGTGTCCCCGCGGAGCAACTCAGTGCCATTGGTGCTCTGATGAGAGACTGCATGTGCAGCCCTCTCTGTTGCTTTCAGGCTTTTGATTGGACTCTTTTTTAAAAAAGAGATAAATGAATTCTGTGACATTTGTAATTCACACAGAAGATTGTAAGGTTTATTTCTCACTTCTATGACTTCGTATTTGCGTCTCTTTTATCTTGAAAATTTTGTCTTTTTGCTTTGCTTGCTGTTTTTCAAATGGTATTACTTGAAAAATTCCGTTTTCAAATCATTCACTCCTATTGCATGGAAACCCAGCAGTTTGGATCTGCTGACGTTGATCGGGGGCTCTGCAGTATCTTTCTTAGATCCTTTTTGTTTTTCAGGTGCACACAGTTGTGCCATCTGTGAATATCATTTTTGACTCATGGGTTTTTTAAGTCTATTTCTCAATTTTCAAATGTAGACTTTTAATTTTAATTAATCTTTTTTTTCTGATTATTACCTTAATTTCCAATTTAATTGCATGAGATTAGTAACCATGACCTGTGTGGTATTTTCCTTTGATATTTATTTGCAGTTGCTTATGATTGGGCTTTATGGTTATCTTTTGTAAATGTTTTATATATGCTTAAAAGGAACATGTTTTTTTTTCCAAATTTTAGGATCCCTAGGCTTTTTATATGTATCTACTAAATCAAGTTGTTAATTGTGTTACTTAAATACTGCATGTATTCACTAATATTTTGCCTGATTGGCTTTATCAATAATTGAGAAAGGTGTATTGAAATGTCTTTCTCTCTGTGGACCTGTTAGAGTTCACATTCTATATTTACTTTTTTTTTTTTTTTTTTGCCTTGTGGTGCTGGGGATCAAACCCAGGGCCTCATGCACACTAGGCAAGCACTCTACCACTGAGCCACATCCCAGTTCTGTATAGTTACCTTTTAATATAGTTGTTTTGAATAGTTTGAAATGTAAAGCAAAATACAGAACTATCTGATAGGTTGCTAAGCAACTGTTACATTTCTAAGATAGTAACTGTTTCTGGATTTATTTGTGAGGGTTTTTCTTTTATTTCTGCTTAAAAAAAGGCTTCCTATTAAAATATTCAAGTCATAATCCTGTTTATCTCTAGCAGTGGTTTTGTTTTGAAGTGCAGCTTTCTCCTGAGAATGCAACTTTCTTGCTTTGTGTCTTTTGTGTGAACATTGGGCAGGCGTAGCTTCTTCTGTCTTCAGACCTTTACGTGTGCTTTACTTAGAGTTGTCTTTTGGTCGTGCCAAACAACTGTACTTTAAAGGGATCTGACTGGATCATCTGTCTTTTCACTGCCAAGTTTAGTCTGCTTGTGTTAATTTTGGCTGTTAATTCACTGATATTTGCTTCATCCATCTGAGCTCGTAACATTTGTTCTATTTTCCCCTCCTTTTCCCTCTTTCATATTGAGTAATGGTTTTAATTGCTTGTTTGCTTAAATGTCACATTTTTGCCTCTGCTAGTTTAACAACTGTAGATTTTGTTTCTGCCTGCTGGTGTTCCTTGGTGATTCCATGAAGTGCGCCCACTCCACTGCTCCTGAGCTGACCTCCCCTTCCAGCAGCACAAGGCTCAGAGCAGTGGGTCTGGTCATGTTGTGCCACCTTCCTCCTTATTGCTGTCCAGCATGTTAGTCCTTAAAGTACAATCCCACAAAGTCACAATCATTGTTTTGACCTTATAGTGATGTTTATGCACATCCTCCATTTTGTTGACTTCTCAGTGTTGGGCCCTCTCATTCTTGTGTTACACACTCCTTGGGATGGTTTCTTTATGAAGGACGGACATTCCTGCTTCAACACATGTGTGCATTCCAGAAAACACAATCACTGAAAATATCAGGCCTGTGGGGGAAGAGAGGGTCTGTGTAACTCTGCAGCCAGAACTCAAACAGAAGCAAAACAATCCTAATAAAAATTTACCAGAGCCTAATCTCCACTGGCATCAGCACCCAGTGTCCAAAAGCCAGTCCTTTGCAGCTCAAATTGTGCTCTCTGTTGAGGTATTGGACCTGGGGTGGCTGCTTTCCGGGGAGCCTGGCCTTCTCCTATGCTAGGAGGACATGCGTGCTCACCGAGGGGCTTACTCTCTATAACCCTGTCCTCAGGTCTTGCTCCTCAGGACTCAGTCACCGTCACCTTCAAACTCTAGTCTTTGCCACCTTGTCCCAGTGAAAGGTTGCCTTTGCTTGAATTCTGTTCCAGGTACAACAAGTAGGAAAGCAATCTCTGGGAAAATCTGAGTGTGTGTGTGAGGGCTTTGCTTGCTTGTCTTCCTGTGGACAGCTGCCCCCTGGGTTCTGTGTTGGCTGACCTCAGTGCCTTAGACAAGCAGGTTATGTGTTTTCTTCTGCTGTGACGGTGGCTTTCAGTGGAAGGTTAGTCCACTTTAAGCTGCTCTGCCATAGGTCATGGTAGTGTTGGGTCAGCTTTGTAGACTTTTATTGCTTGTCCATTTTTCAAGGTTCATTTTTACTTCTTATATATTTTTTATTTCTCATCTAAAACTTTCTGTATTTGAAGTCAACATGAGCACAAACCAATTACTTGTCATTTCTGCTGTTTTCCAGTGACAATAGCCTTGCTTCCTTGTGTGTTTGGTGGTATCTCTATTTCATATTCATTTGTGACTACTCTCCATCATCCCTTTCTCTCTTGGGGCTTTGTGAGATAATTAAGCCTTATAGAAAATGAATTGGTTGCCTATATTTTAGCTTTCCAAGAAGGGTGTCTAGCTAGTGCCATTCCAGATGTGAATGAGAGAAATTCTTTCTGTCACAGAAGTCTCGGGAAAGTTGGACTTGAATTCTCTCCAGATTCTCCTAGTCTGTGGGATTCTGTGGGCCAAATGAGGAATGTCTTTGTCAGGAGGATTAATGCATGCTTTTCCCAGAAGCCAGGGGAGTTCAAGCATGCTCACATCGGCCTCTTTGGGGGCTGCAGTTTGACACAGGAGGCCCATTCCCCTTCCTGCCTTGCAGTGAGGGCCATGGTCAGGGCTCCCACACAGCGCTGGTGGCACTTTTCCCAAGACAATCTCTCAGGCATCCTCCTTCCTCAAGTTATGCAACTCTAGTGATTGGAGTTTTGTTACTGCTGAGTCTTTTTAATAACCCGCTTTTAACAAGGAATTTATTCAGTCTGTAGCAATTTTCATTTTTACTCTTTTTAAAAAATTTTTTATTAAAGAAATTGTTTTTGTAGCCATATATGGACAGCATGACTTTATTTTATTTGTTTATTTCTGTGTGGTGCCGAGGATGGAACCCAGGGCCTCACACGTGTGAGGAAAGCGCTCTGCCGCTGAGCCCCAACTCCAGCCCCCTTTATCTTTTTTCCTTTCTGCTTAGACTTCATGGGCAGCTTCCCTCACGTTCTATTATAGTAAGTCTGTTCTGGGAGAAGTTGTTTAGTTCTGGCCCTGGCGTCTTTGTTCCCTTCCTTCTGAGCCACAAAATTCTTCACTGAGTCCAGATTGGTTCTTTCCTCCAGTTTACTTACCTTTGGGTTTGTTTTATTGTTACTGGGGAAGAGTTTGAAAAGGTGTGGTGTTTAATAATAAATATTTGTTACTTTAAAACTAATATGTGCTCATCATGGAAACACTTAGTGACATTGCTGTTGGAGCACCACACTGTGATCACTGCAGCCAACATTTGGTGTTGCTTCCCCCGACAAGCCCTGTTTCTCCTGCTGTCAGGCTCGTTTGGAACACCAGGTGTGGGGCTGTGTTTCTCTCTCTCTCTCTCTCTCTCTCTTTTTCAACACTGGAGATTAAAGCCATGGCACTCTACCACTGAGTCATATCCACAATTTTTTTTTTTTTTTTTTTTTGCAAAGTTGCAACCCTCCTGCGTCAGTCAGCCTCCCTCCCTGGGGTCACAGCCATGCCACTGCACCTGGCTCTCCACTTCTTTTTAATTTACCTTATCATATGCCTCTTCTTATGTTATGTAAACTCTTCTAGACATTTTAAATATTCATCACATGGTACTTCATATAAATATTGAATATTTACTTGACTGATAGAAGTTGCTCATTTTATAATTTTAACTTTAAAATAACTTATAACAAAGACTTCTATGAGTACAGATTTTTTGTGCATGCTTGATTTCCTTTGGAGATAATGTCTTATGAATTAATAGAATTGTTTACTGTTTTAAGTAAGCATTGCCTGTGACTTTATCAGAATATTATATAATTTACATTTTATTTTTTAAAAAATATTTATTTTTTAGAAGTAGTTGAACACAGTACCTTCATTTTATTTATTTTTTTATGTGGTGCTGAGGATTGAACCAGGGCCACACACTTGTTAGATGAGTGCTCTACCGCTGAGTCACTGAGCCACAACCCCAGCCCCAATATAATTTACATTTTCATTAGGGGAAACTGGATAGTGTCAGTTTCAAAAGCGGCTACACTGAAAGTGCTTGCAGAAGGTCATCTCAGCTCTGAAGTGGCAGCTGTGCTTTTCCCCATTCTCAATGTTAGTACAGCCGTTTCCTCTGCTCAGTGGTTCCAAACAGGACCACAGAGTGGCCGGCAATGGGGGAGAAGCTGGGAGAGGCTGGCCTCAGCAGGCTCTGGGAATCAGCTCCTTTGTTTTGGTTGCTCTTTGACATCCTCTTTGCCTTTGTTTCCTTAAAGAAGTGGATGTAAAATGCAGCAGTGTGTGTGTGTGTGGGTGCTCAGGTCACTGTACTGTCCCCCTCAGTGCTCTGAGGTCTCAGGGACCCTGTCAGCCATAAGAACTGAAATGCTCATCATCACAGTTAAAGACGCAGACCTGTTGCCAGGTGTGGTGGTACATGTCTACACTCCCAGTGACTTGGGAGGCTTAAGCAGGGGGATCACAAGCTCAAGGCCAGTCTCACCAACTTAGTAAGACCCTATTGCAAAATAAAACCTAAAAAGGGCTGGGGACAGGGTTTAGTGGTAGAGTACTCCTGGGTTTAATCCCCAGTACTGGAAGAAGGAAAAAAAAAAAAAAAGGAAAAAGATTCATTGAGGGAAATTTGCATGATCTACCTAAAATGAAGGAAGCCCACAGCAATTTTACTAAGGGAGTTTAATCTGTGGGAGCAAAAGTGATAGTTGTGGGGAGGAGAGCAGAGGGGCCCCAGCAGAGGGGCCATGATGAGCAGGAATGCAGTGTGAGTCCAGGAGAAAGAACTGCATGCAGGGGGCCAGGAGAACTTGCCTGGGCAACCATCTTCCTGGATGCCCTGGAGTAGCATGGCCCTTCTCCACGCCAAGCCAGGCTGATGGCAGGATGCAGGGAGCACTGTGGGCCAGTGAGCCCCGGGCCGGCTCTGTTCTGCCATCTTGTAGCTCTGAGATCCCCAGGTGGAGAGACGGGCTCCCAGGTGCTGGCACTGAGCAATACTGGAGGCCTTGGTGTCCCCTGAGGGCACAGTACCTAGCTTGGTGCTCCTCCCTTACAATAGCCAAGCAGGAGGTGGGCAGAGGCCTGTTGGAGTCTGAGGCAGATGGCCTATGCCTCCAGCTCTGGAAAGTGCTGGCCCTGCCAGTTGTGGTCCTGCTCTGCCTGGGCAGCGGTATTGTCAACCACATGCCCTTCCCCAGGGGGTCCATATGTGGGCTCTATGTGCACCGCACCCCTAACCTAGAGGCCCTATGTCCTCGCAGGTGGTAACATGGACCTGGAGAGCCAAGGAGAGGGGAAGAAGGAGGCAGAAGCTGATGATGTGCTGAGGAGTGGCCCCCGGCCCATCGTCCCGTACAGCTCCATGTTCTGTCTAAGCCCCACTAACCTGTGAGTCTCTCGCTCCTGTGTGTGTGTGCTGGTCCCGCCCTTCATTGCCATGACCTGTGTGAGCTCAGCAGCCAATATGTGTGGAATGGCACCACGAGGGGCTGATTCTGTG